AAGATTCAACAGAACATTCAGAATGGCACTGTCGAGCACATCGCAGAAGCAAACAAAGCAGTTGCAGAGGCTCGAGATTTTAAACATGTGGCTGTGAAGGTTATTCCAATTGATTTACAACAACTCACCATTTTGGTAACAGCAGATGCATCATGGGCTACGGAAACAGACTTGAAGAGTCAATCTGCATACATGGTTTGTGCCACAACAAAGGCAATGCATGAGGGCAAGGCAACACCATTGACACCACTCAAGTGGAAAAGTCAGAAACAAGAAAGGGCAGTCAGCAGCACTTTAGCAGCTGAATTGTACACTGTTTCAAAAGGTGTAGCTGAAGCCGTATGGACAAAGCAATTTTTTCTTAGAGATTTTGAATTCAGAATACAATTTGAACAACATTGACAAGTTGAGAAACAATGTGGATGTCATTGCGGTCACCGACAACAAGCCTCTCTATGATCATGTTCGAAATGATACAGGAATGATTCAAGACAAGCGGCAAGCAATCGAAGTCCTGTTGCTGAGAAGAGATGTGAAAGAACACCAAGTTAGTATGCGCTGGATCGATACGAAACAAATGTTGGTAGACTGTATGACAAAACTCACGGTCAAGCCAACGCTTCTTCGTCATGTCTTGCATTCGAATAGCTATGCTATCATGGAGGAGCAAAGCATGCTAGAGGCCAAGCGCACACAAAGACAGCACAGGAAGTCACACATGCTACAACCCGGGATGTGTGAAATTCAGGACACCGAGGACGGACCCATGTGTGACAGAACCATGGGGTAGAACACTTTACCTTCCGAGGCCGTACCGGCACAGTTGAAAAGTGCGTGATTGCGCGCTTGGGTTTTTCACAGTGGTAGCGGAGCCCGGTCGTTGCCGCTCGTGCCCGTCGTCGATGCACGAGGGGTAGCGGCTGGGCTCCATCCCCATGGCTAGCGATTCGACTGGCGGTGCTTCTACACGGCTGGAACGATTCGATGGCTCTGATCCTAGCCTTTACAAAAGGTGGCGGCGTCGGGCAGCTTTGATGATCATCAGTCTGCCTAATACGTATCCTGCTGAGAAATATGGTCCGAAATTGATCGAGTTCCTGGCAGGCGAGGCCGAGTTGGCGGTTGAACATATTCCCGTGGAGGACTTGGCGAAGAGTGGTGGGGAACGCCTAGTGTTCAAGGCTTTGGACGAGCGTTTCAGGCCGCTTGAGAAGGACGACATGAATGAAGCTCTGAAAGAATTTTTTTTTTGAGACTGCCATTCGTTCAGGTGAGCCGATGAAAGCTTTCATCACCCGCTTTGTCACAGTGGAGCGCAAACTGCGTGAGCAGGGCGTGACTCTGCCTGATGAGGTACAGGGCTGGTTCATGTTGAGGAAACTTCATCTTGACACCAACCAGGAGGCGATGATCTTGACTGCGACAAGGGGTTCTTTCAAGATCGGAGATGTTTCACAAGCAGTGCGGGCCATTTTGGCCAATACCAAAGGTACACACAAGACCAACCAGAAGGACACGTTCGTAGTCACTGACGAACAAGATCGGGACACTGACGTGGGTTGGGACGAAGATCAAGAACTGCTTCAGGTCCTTGCAGCAGAGCTACAGGAGAACGACAACTATGAGGAGGAGGAACTCTTGGACACCTTCGAGAGTTACAAGCAGGTGAGGACAAAGATGCAGGAAGTTCGGAAAGCCAGAGGCTTTCGATCAGACGCCAGTTCAAGTGGATCGAGCCAACCGTGGAGACTACAGGGAACCATCTCTGCCAGACTTCAACAAGTGAAAGCTCGCACCCGCTGTCATCGATGTGGCCAAGTTGGCCATTGGCGCAAGGAGTGCCCATCACGAAGTGGAGGAAAGGGCAGCAACAAGGGATCAGCGTCTTCCGTGACGAGTCAGACATCGTCCAAGGAGGTGCACATTGTGGAGGCTGACTGGCCGACACAGGAGGACTATGATTTGTTGCTTGATCAGACAGCGAGCGAGATTGAGCTGGGGTTGGATGCCTTCATGATCCAGGGAGGTGGAGAGAGCGACGACTCGCAGCGCTCCGTCATGCTTGACCCGTGGAGCGCTCCTGTGCCGTTGATTTTTTCGTGAGCAGTGTAGTACGGCCTTGGGCCCCAGTACAGTCATGAACGATGTACAGCACGTTCATTTTGAAGTTTTTCATGAAGATGACGATCAGGGCGGTGTGGAATACACGGCAGCAGCCTTGGAGACACACGGAATCCCTGATACAGCATGTCGTAGGTCTTTGATTGGTTCAAATGTCCTTGCACGTGTCGAAGAACACCTGAGTAGGACCGGTAGGAGAGTACAGCGGAAGGAGGCCACCTCACATTTCAGGTTTGGAAACAACGGGAGTCTTAGGTCAGATGAGGTTGCGGTTATTCCTTGTTGCATTGCTGGTCAACAGCTTTTGATTCAGGTGGCGGTTCTTCCTGGGAGTGGTGCTGACACCCCCCTTCCTCATGTCCAAAGAACTTTTGAAAGAGCTTGGAGCACGTCTAGATTTAGTTCGTGACACCATTAGTTTCGCACGTCTCGGAAATCGGGAGGTTTGCTTAGGCACCACTAGCAAGGGTCACTATGCTGTTCCTTTGTATGAGTTCGACACACACACACACAGCATGCACAGCACAGTCGGATTTTTGACCAAGATTCTCAGCGTGTTGCATCTAGACAGGATTGCCATGTCGTACACCGGCAGTCCCGACAGGATGAGCCCAGGCAGCCATCAGCTGCTAGAGTCTCTCCAGATGGGGCATTTGATGCCGATGGATCAACATCTGGATCAGCAGTACGACTCGGAGGACGACTCTCCGAGGCATCCTCAGGCCTCCGGAGACACAGTGATGATGGAGGGCAAATTCAAGACCAAACCTCGAGCACCAGCAAACACCTTCCGGTACATTTACACATGTCAGAAGAACT